GCGTTTCAGGCCGGCATTCCCCACCCGCGCCTCTTTTACTGGCCCTGTCTCCAGGCAGGTGGCACAGAACCTCGCTCCAGGGTGCAGCAGCAGCCGCAAACGCGGAGAGTTTTCACAGCGGTGCTCACACTGGAGATAGCGGGCAAGTCTCAGGCAGGAACGGTACGGTATTAAAAACTACACGTGAGACTGAGAATCACGGAAAGACCGCAGTGATGCAGACCTGTACCTCTGGGTAGCCACTCACTGGGTGAAACATACTTAAATACATTCTGCGGGTTGGCAAAGTGGATGTAGGCAAACCAGGAACTCACATTCCTGCCAGACACAAAAAAGCAGTGCTCCTGAAGACTTCTGCCCTAGAAGCAGAAACTTCAGTGCAAGAAAACTTCCTGGCTCCACTGCCCAGGCTGCCCCAGAGGATCTGGCCTTTATTTCCACGGCATTCATCAACAAATCCAAGCTCAACAATGGAAGACAACAGATCACCCCTTTTTTTTTTCCTTCACTGCTGTTTACCTGGCAAGGAAGTGGTGGAGTCCCCATCCCTGGAGGTGTTCAAACAACGTGTAGATGTGGCACTTCGGGACGTGGTGTAGCAGGCATGGTGGTGGTGGGTTGGCGGTTGGACTTGATGCTCTTAGAGGTCTTTTCCAACCTTAATGATTCTACGGTTCTGTGACCTAGACCCTAACCCAGCAGGCACTCTGCCCACTGCAACTCCCACCGAATCAGCCAGGCTCAGAGGCGCTCAGCGTCTGACAGAGTCAGGCTCACCCATCCCAGGCGAAGAGCACCGCGCTGCTTCCACCTGCCCAGGCCGCCCCAGCCGAAGGACCAGGCTGTCACCAGAGGGAGCTGCAGCAAGAATAAAGACTCGGACTTTTTTCATTGATTTCTTTGGCACACACCACACAGTCCAAATGCCTTTCTGGAATGACATTTTTTATTAGACGAACACAGTTTTAATACATAATTTAAAACTCCATGTGTACACGGCCTAGGATGCAACGTGCTCCCTCCCACACTGAGCTACAGTGACTTCAGCGACGCCGTGAAGGCGAACACCAGCTCTGCGTTCGCGACCACACAGGGGTGTCACAAATGGTCGGGCGTGGAAGCTTTGCACGCAGGTAGGTCTACGCAGGACAGGATGAAGCACATTAGGAACAGGTAAAGAATAGGAAGCAGGGAGTAAGCCGGATCTGCCCTGGCTGAAGGACTGCTCTCCAGGAGCTGTTCTCCATTTCCCCTCCCAAATTCCTTAGGGAGCAAGAGGGAGGACAGGCCACGCTGCAGCTGGAGTCCCGTGGAGAGCGGCGCTGTGTGGTTCCCCACGCAGCGCTGCCGGCCAAGGGCCCCTGTGAGAGCCCCCGCTCCGGGAGTCGTCGACAAGCCATGGGCCGTCCCGCACCGTGCCTTCCCCTCCCGCCCTCGGCACAGGGCGAACATGCCGGGCTCCCTCCTCCTCCCGCCCCTCGCACCAACATCTCATGAAACCAGGGGACAAGCCACCGACAACTAATGGGATGTGGCACTCTCCTGGCGATGACCCCACTCTTGCACTCCTGTGAAGTGCCACAAGGCACTGCCTAAAATCTCGGGGTCTGACTTCTGAATCACAGTATTGCCAGAACTGGACTCCCTAAATAAATGTACTCATGGGGGGAGAGGGCAGGGAGGGACAACCAAGGAATCCACTGAGAGCTTGGCAGCTCCTCTTCATTTCAGTGATAGCACTTGGGCTGCCCAACGCTTGAACCAGAGGGTAACTTTAAAGTGTAAACACGGGTTTAAGAGCTTTACTCCAGGTCCACTTCCCTTGGAAGGTCTGATTCTACACAGTCAACAGAAAGGAAAAAGAAAAAAAAAAAAAGAGAAAGCCACACTAACAAAAATCAAGAGTTCAGAAGACTCATCAAAAACTGCTTCAATCTTGCAAAGCGTGTGTCTTTTGACTCAGGCCTCAAGATCAATTTACTGCATGATTAAAAAAATAGCAATCTAGAAACTACTCCTTTCTCAGCTCAAAGTTTAAGCACACCTAAGAAGACCTCACAGAAATAGTCCTCTTTCTGGCAAGGCACTATCCAGTAGTGTGTGGCACAAACAAAAACCCCTCTATCACAGCCACTGATACAGTGAATGTGTGCGTGCACTTCAGCCCGCACAGCAACTTTCGCTAGGTACAAAGATCTACAGGTTAATTCACACTGCTTTCCCTTTTAAAAAGTGGCATAGTTACAAGTATTAGCTAAAAACTGGGATCATTTGGTACTCAAGCATAGCTGTCCATGCAAGTACTTCAAACGGAATTAAGAATTTGCTATTTCTTTCAATAAATAGCTCTAGTTTCCACAGACCTCTCTAGTTACCTGATAGCTACATTCCATTGTTACAAAACTGTAATTACTAAAAAAATCCCAGATCACCTTGTGTAACAAACTAGAACTCTGCTTGCTTTAATTACAAAAATAAGGCTGTCGCACAACAGACCAAATTCACATTCAAGCAACATATATACTTTTTTTTTTAAAAAAGCTAGCCACTTGTAATTCAAAAGCAAATATTGTAAGGGACTTACACTGCCAATCCAGGCAAGCAAGCAAGATCTCTTTGGAGCTAGCGTTGTCCTCCACACAACTGCTCACGCCCACGTGCGTGCTCTGAAACCAGCCAGGTTTACCTAACAGCTGTAACAGGACTAGCTCTCCACTGAACAGGAGGCTTCTGGTCTACAATTATCAAAATTCAAGAGGAGTTTTGTGACACTAATTTCACCCCTGGGGAAATCAGTGTGGTTTTGCCTCTCACATCGGTAAGCCTGGGATTTCACCCAGGATTACTCACGTGGATATTCTTCGACACTTAGGTAAGTTTTTTGAAACTGGGACTTCAGGCAGTTCTCAAAGTTTACAACATATCAAGTACATGATAAATCCAGGATGGCTTCTCTGTAATCAACTGCATAAGTAATTATGTAAATTTATACCTGTATTCATCTGCAAAGCTAAATATTTTTCTTTAACTTTTTTTTTAAATATTCATATAGAACTTGGCAAAGTTAACAATGTACAGCTCTACCTCCTCACATTTCCTTCCTATAGTGAGGTTCAAGTCTCATGAAAATATGGGATTGGTTACAACAATGCCATAGTAACTTACCACAGACAACATAATTCTTAAAAATGCACATACATATATGTATATACATACATGTATATGCATGTTCTCAACTCCCACTCAGGATTCCTCTAGAGAAGGTGCTGTAGCTAAGATTTTGACTAGTATATACAACCATGGACTTGAAATCTGTATGCTCCTGCTCCATCTGAACTGAGGAGGCACCAGAGGATCCAAAGAGAAACTGATTTATGGACGAACTCCTTTAACATCTCCTTTTTTAAAGCTTTCCTACCTTTGTGCTAGATGTACGCAGTTTGCAGCTGAGACTACATGAACAGAAAGGTAACCTGCTCTTTACTCCAGCAGCTGGTAGTCATGAACATCATTCACATCATACCTCTGTCGTCATGAGTAAGCAACTGTCCAAAATCTGAGAGACTACAGTTCTCCTACTGTTCAGCATCTTCAGCAGAGACTTGGATGATGACCCAGCATGCACCCTCAGCAAATCTGTGAATGACACCTGAACCTGCTTCAGTGGTTGGTAACAGCTGGCATCTCAATAACCTTGAGGACCAGGCCTACAGAAACCTCATGAAGTTTGACAAGGACAAGTAGAAAGTCCTGCCCTTGGGGGCAGCGAGACATCAATACAGGCTGGGAAGCAGCCAACAGAGTCATACTCCTGATGAAGGGACCTTGGGATTTTAGTGAATGCCAGGTTGATCACACGCCAGCAATGTACTCACTGCAAATAGGGGAAAGCACGCAGGGCGCTACTTCAGAAGTGGCCTGCAGGCTGAGGAAAGTTCTTATCACCCTCTACTCAGCACCAGTGAGGCCACATGGAAATACCATTTTGGGACCTTCTCTCAGTTCAAGAGGGATGTGAACAAACTGGAAAGAGTAGCCCTCCACCAAAGCAAAGCAGCCAGGGGCCTACAGCACACAGCCTGTGAAGAGAGGCTGAGGAACACAGATTTGTTTAGTCTGGAAAGGAGATGTCTAAGAGGTGTTCTAATGGTAGCCTACAACTATCTTGAGGGCAGTTACACAAAGGATGGTGACAATCTCTTGCTGTGAGTGCCTGAAAACAAGCAAAGGCAACAGCCACAAATCATAGCTTGGGAGTTGAGGCTGGACATTAGAAAGAAAGTTTTCACTAGGAGAGTACTGCAGCACTGGGACAGGTTACCTAGAGGGTTATGAGCTCTTCATCTTTGGATATTTTTAACACTCTGCTAGATAAATCCATATCTCACCTGAGCCCGATTTTGACAGTGCTGGACCAGACAACCTCCAGTTGTCCCTTCCGACTAACATGCTTCGGATGTCATGGTTACTGAGTTTATCAGATGTGATTTGTTGCACAGACAGGGTTGCTTTCTGACAGTTTCAACAAGTTTGGCTTCCTTCAAGCCACACAGTCCAAGTAATGCTGTGATTGAAGATTTCCCACATAATGCTTGTCTTTCATTTACCCAAAGACATAAGGACATTTATTGGAATGGCACTACCCTGTCTTTACGAAATCAGTAAAATGAGTAAACACTACATTACAGCATAGCTGTTATTTTCATAGCCAGACCTGATTCAAAATGCATAATGCAGTTTGACTTCTGTCTAGAATGCATTTTGTAATGGTTATTGGCAAGTCACGGGCCTCAGTTCTGCTATGCGCATCAATGCAGTCCCACCAGAACAATCTCCATTTCCTTTACTTGGCTCCTATTCCTCAGCTGAGCTAACCATTGTGGCCTCATCCAGCAAAGCACATGCTCAGCTTTCTCACTGCCTTTGAGGCACCTCCACGTTTCCACAGCTGGAGATATAACCAGTACAACAGCTAGCTGAGTCAGACGGACCACAGCAGAGTGTTTAACCATCTATGGGGCTGAGTCTGGCTCTCAAAGTATCCCCGACTCTCATGTGGCTAATGGTGGAGCTGTGTGTTATTCAAGGTAAACTCCAGGTTTTGGCAAAATTTCATTTTAAGACAGTTCTACTACAGAGCTCCAGCTTTGGGAATCTGGTACATAAGTATATCCACAAACGATACAAGCCCTACACTTCCACTCCTTATTCTCAAACATACTTGTCTGTTAGAACACCAGTGCCAGTTGCAACAGCAATGCAAAGACAAAAGGGAAACACCAACAATGAGTATTTTTAAAAAGGAAGATGAGTAGCCCAGCCTTAATCCTGTTTCATACATGTGTTATTAGCTCCACACCACTGGAGAGCACCTTCCCATGGCAAGCAGACTACTACTACTAACGATGCGTGTTTGTTCTGTCACAGTGATCCATTAGGGAAGTTGTTGTGTGCTGAAGAACAGGGTCATCCATCCAGGAGATGTGCTTGTCGATACTTCAGATAGGCTTTCTAAGGTTCTGACTCCTATTTAAAAGAAAAGACAAACCAAAAGATTATTAGTGCTATGAATACCTTTTCATCTCCTGTGCCTGCGACCTTCACATGTAAGGTGCCCCTAAACCTGCTCCACACAGCAGCTGAGGATGCATCACTCTGAAGTACTGCCAGACGAAGCAGTGATCTGGCCAAGGTTGCAGAGACACTCCTCCAGGCCTACAACGGGTTAGTTCCCAGGAACAGAGCTCCACAGAAGCTGCTGTTTCTGACTGCAGTAGGACATCCTCTTTTTCCTAGAACTAGCTCTTCAAGCTGTGAAGCAAGGCAGGCTGCCAAAATAACCTGCCTTTGCAGTTCCCTGCTGAGGTTCCCTCCCACTCCTGTCCCTCATAGGGTCCAGAAATAAAATGCATTCCTGGCAGAAAAGGAACTCCATAGATACCCAAGGACTAGTGTCCAGGCACGAAATAGTACTACTACCAAACACAGCTATATCTACAGTAGTCAACGGAAGAAAAATCCTCTTCTATGTGTGATCTACTGCCCAAAGGTGAACCATACAGTCTCTTTGAACAAGTGTCCAGGCTTCCATATGGCAATAAAATCTCCTCTGTTATACTTCCCTCAACAGAAAGATGCTATCTGGCTTTGTGTTCTGACCTTTATATATATATATTTGCTAAAACTGAACTCTTCTCCAAAAAGTTGATATAGCTTCTGACTGCTCCAGCACTTTAGCATTAAGAAAAAAAAAAATGCCTAATGAATAAATGCTGTCCTGGCTAAGCCATTATGCCAGGCTGGCCCAGTAAGATGATGTTTTGGTGGCGTAAGTTGCAGATATTCCAGCTATTAAGATCCTAGTTCTGTCTCCTGTTATAATTAAGTCAGTTGCTTTCAATTTAGATAGATAATGAGAAGGAGTATGTATTCTCTAAACTTCTCTGCTGTCTCAAATTCACTCCCATGTATATGCTTAGTTTCATTTAAAATGCTTTGCTTTTCAAGGCAACTGTTTCAATTACCTTATCAGCATGAAGTTGATATGGACAAGGTATGGATCAGGGCAGTGGTACATCCAAACACACAGAGTTCTTTCAGTTCAAAGAAAATTCAACCTCCGTATTTCAAGAATTCCATGAAAACTCTGCAATACTACACTGACCTTTGATGCCAAAGTAGGTTTCAGTCCAAGAAAGGAGAAGACAGTGTTGCTCTCCTTTGATTCAAAAAAACCATCATAATCCTAGAGAAAAAGAAAAAAACCAGATGAGTCAACATTTGCATTCGTGTTTTCCTGATTGATCTTTACACACCATGTATTAGACTTAAGGGTGATATGTAATAATGCTCAGGAAAACACTGATACTTACCCACATTCTCCTATGCAAAGCTAAAAGCTATTCTAAACTGCAATGGTATTACCAACTATGATGGCAAAGAAAAACACATAAATTCTCTAACTACAACATCCTTCACTACTTTATTTGACAGGAAAATATAAACATGGGCTTGCATTAAAAGGAAATCTACTGTGCTGTATTTTAAAGGTATGTAAGTGCCTAACAATGCAAACAAGTTTCTGACCAGGTTTCCAATTTGCATTTTAGTAAACAAAATGCTTCCTAACACGGAAACCTCCAAGAAGTCCTAAGGCAGCTGAACTCTTTCATTTTTTTTGTGGTGGAACAGAGACTTCATCATCATTGTACCCCTGGAAATCAGCAATCGTATCTAGCCTTGGACAATCACATAGCTAAATATAAAATTTTACCACAAAGAAACTTGTAGTATAGAAAGATGAAAACCAAGCTTCATTATCATGATTAAGTTCCTTTTAGGTTTCAGCTGCTTAAGATCAGGTTCTGATCTCAAAGTGTTACTACTGCTTTTACTGATTTTTTATTGCATTGGACACCTGCTACTCTTCCATCATCAGATGATGTGACAATATTCAGTTTTCAAGGTAAAGAGAGAAAAATAGAGCAGTTTAGTGAATGGATTTGCATATGGCAAGAATCCCAGAAGATTCAGGTCCTCTTCGTAGTTTGCCAAAGACTTTGTCTACGACCACCAGCAACCAATAAAACACCCAGTTCAGACTCTTTTCCTCCACCACCTAACTGCGAAATGGAAATATTAATCCTTACTTAACCACTTCTGACATGTAAAATACTCTGTAAATGTCAGGAAATTTCAGGTATGTGTTCATCACTACATAGCAATTATCTCTAAATAGCTAAGATTAGTAGTTACACTTCACTCAAAAGCATTCAACAAGAGAAATCCCTTTTCCCAAAATATACACGTTATATATATGTGTATTTCCCAAAATACTGACTGTGCACATACGTGCTTTCAATACAGAATAGTAACAGGCAGTCTCTGTGCCCCCACATGCTTCCCATCTGTGTAAAAGTCATTCCCAATGCACCTGACGCCCAAAGTTAGCACTTCTTTGGCTCCTGACCTCTAATCTCATTACTTTCTGATAGCTCATCTCTCATTATTACATTTTGTTGTGGCCTCCAGTTTCAGGTGCTTTCCCTGAAACTAGACCTCAATTTTTCCCCAGCAGCAGCTGCTTTGATCACTTGTCTCCTTCCACTCCTGCCTTCTCTTGAACCTGTAACCTCACAAACCACCCCACAATCACAGAGGACCATGTAAGATAAACAGAAGAAGCCCTAACTGAAAAGCAGAAATCTTTCTCTGACCTGGCTACTCTTGGAAGGCTGTCATGGTATATGCAAACATTAGGAACTTTCTTTTATCTTCCAACCAGAGTCTACTTGTGCCTAGCCAATATCCACTTGTGCTTACATTTTGGCTTCTCAGATCCCACCCAGGAAGCAAAAATTAGTCTGGGCAAGCATTCTGCTTCCCAATAATTCTCCAAGTCTTTGCAATGCAGTGTGAGTCCCTGAATAGCCCTTCATCCCACCTGCCAGACCCAATTGTAAAATATACCAAATTATATCCTTACAGAAGGATGGTTGGTATTTTGTGAAATAACTTTATAAATAAAGCGTGTGCTTGTAGATGAAGATTTACTTCTCTTTGTTCTCTTTTTTTCTCTTCACCAACCTAAAATAAAAGACTGTTCAGACAGAAAATACATAGTCACCATTGCAGGGATAATATACCTCCCAAGAGATCCATAACCAATTCTGCAGATGTGCAGAATTCCTCTTTAAAACTTTCTGGTGCACTACACAAAGATGCTTTACTAGCATTTCCATAATCATGTACTGCTATACCAATGTGCACACAACTATCCTCACAAAGTGATACTTTGCAGTTGCATAATGATTCAGACAACCTCAGCCCAGAAAAAAACACAGCTGCACAGAGGCAGTTTCACAGCCTAACTCACTGGGGACTGAAAGCATCTGCCCTGAAACACACAGAGAGGTCAGCAGGAGTGTATGATGGTCATCAGGCCTCAGACTTTCTTAAGATGGCTTTTTGCTGTCGCCTTCTTAAAAGACGGCATATTGCTGTGCTGTTAACCTAACACTGCCAAGTCCACCACTAAACCATGTCCCTAAGTGCCATGTCTTTTAAATACCTCCTCAAGGGATGGTGACTCCACCTCTTCCCTGGGCAGCCTGTGCCAACACTTAACAACCCTTTCAGTGAAAAAATTTTTCCTAATACCTGATCTAAACCTCCCCTGACGCAACTTGAGGTCATTTCCTCTCGTCCTGTCACTTGTTCCTTGGAAGAAGAGACCAACACTGACCTTGTTACAACCTCCTTTCAGGTAGTTGTAGAGTGTGATGAGGTCTCCCCTCAACCTCCTCTTCTCCAGGCTAAACAACCCCAATCCCTCCAGCCACTCCTCATAGAACTTGTGCTTTTGGCCCTCCACCAGCTTCGTTGCCCTTCTCTGGACACGCTCCAGCAACTCCACATCCTTCTTGTAGTGAGGGGCCCAAAACTGAACACATTACTCGAGGTGCGGCCTCACCAGTGCCAAGTACAAGAGAGAGAACACGCATTTTTTCTATCTACAGTTCCATGTTTTTCTCTATGTGCGATACATAATTTCCAATGAATACCATCTACTCACTTCACTCTATGGCAGAGTCAAGTTTATTTGGTTTCACTGCCAGCGGAACGAAACACTTCAAGAAATAAAGCACTTCTGGAACAAAGGAAGGTAGAACCTCCCACAATGATCAGCATCACAGACTGGAAAACAGACTTTGCAGACAAATGTTGCTTATCATTATGGGGACAGAACTATCACCATTACTTTTTAAAATGCTAACATATGAAGATATTAGACCCAGTTTTAAGTTCCCTCACTGTTCATTTTAGGTATGGTCTGCTCTACCTAACCTTGAAGTCAAACATATAATTAAACAGAGGAAACAGACACATCTACATGAATCAAAAAATCATTAAATGTGATGAACTGATGCCAATTTCTGATTTAATGTAAAGTCACAATTAATAGCCAGACAGGAAATCCAAATAAAATAGACAGATCTCACAAGCAGACCATGCCATAAGCTGAAACACTACTGAAAGCAATCCCAACAACGCCACGGATAAAAAGAGGACAACGTAATCACTGAATACCTAGAGGAGTAATAAGCAATACTGAAACTCTGCAGAAACATGTTTGTTTAAGCCCTTGACTCGAAAAACTTCACAGATGCTCTTAAACCTGAAAAAGGTCCAGCCTGACTCTGCTAAAGCAGATGAGAAGCCGTGAGGGACAGGAGCTAGGGAAGCAACCACATGCGAAGAGGGTGCCTGATCTAACGGAGAAATAACCTTAACTTTCTCCACTGGGTTTATCTACACATGAGTCACACCCTCTCTGGAGTCGAAGGTAGGGGAGCAGTGGATGAGTACAACTCACAGTGAGACAAGGGCACCCCTTTAATATCAGGGTAGGTTTAAATGGCCTTGAGCTGCTCATTACAACCCTGCAAACTAAAAGCAGCCAACCCGCGGGCAGGCAGCTACTGTGAGCATTTCTGCCCCAGCACAGCTCGAGACAGACGTTGTTCTTGCTCTCCACCAGCAGCACCCTTTCCTCCTAAGCACACTGGCAGTTTTCAGGAACGCCCAGACCCCTGTTTGTCTCAACAGTTTGTCCCAGAGAAGGCACTCTGTTTGTTCGGGTGAGACATCATCTTTCATCACCGTTTTCAAGTTCTGGGGTTCTCCTGAAGTGTCTTAGTCCTAGTACTTCAATTAGCTCTAAACCCATCACTGCCCCAAGACCATGTTTTTTTCACTCTTTGTTAATAAATTGGAAATAAAAACAGAGTAGGGAAGGATTCATAGCCTGAAAATAGTGTCGTAAGAAATACGGCTGCATTCCTGGCTCTCACAATGACTTTGTGACTCAGCTAATCCACCAATATCTGTGAACATCGCTTTACCTCAACTTCTGTAAAGTAATTTAAGACTTAATCGTAAATAGCTTTCTGCAAGTGCTAGTTACCAGTTTTCACTTCCAGAAGTACTGAGGCCTGATTTAGTATGTTTTTTCCATATTTTAACATATTATCAAAACCTTATTCACTTACTGAAAAAGTCACGAAAGTTATGAGCTAACTGAGTAAGTGTGTGTTTTAAAGCGCACAAAATCCAGCGGATTAATGCATTTTAAAAGGAGCAGAATATTTAATAACCACAAGAGATTATCCACCAAAAGCAATCTTCCTGATGTTCTGAAATATCTGCATTGCAAAACATATTAAAATGTTATTGATAATTTCTTACTTCCATGGGGCATGGGGGGAGAGGCATCATGGTTTCAGATAAAGTAGCAGTAAAAATTTAAATAGGAGAATTTTTCTACTAATCTCTGTAACGACATGATCCCAAAATATTCAAATGTGAAAAAAAAGACACAAAAATTCATAACAGTCCTATAAAAGTTGAAAGAAATTGCTTTAGTATGGCAGTTTCTTAAGGGATTTTTGAGAAACATGATCTCAAGGAATGTAATCTCAAGGACTCCTTGGTTTTGCTTTGGCATGTGGTAGGAGTTCAAAGTGGGCATCCATGGCTTTCCCTGCGATACAGGCGAGACAACGTGTTCCAAAAACATCCCGCCTTTGACCCTACCCTTATAAGGAGAGAAAGTCTGTGCAGATTTGGGCCGCATGTAAAGACACTAAATCAATGGGTGGGGACACAAAAATCCTTGTCTCACATACAGAACATCCCACTGCTACCAGCTGTAGATGCAACGACTGAAGAAGGAAAATGGTGCCA